ACTATACGAAACTGCGTTGAGTAAAAGAATCAAATCAGGACATGCACCAAAATATTGTTGGATCTGTGAGCAAATACAGTTAAAAAGATTGATTATTGAACCCTGGTATGTAAAGGTTTCACAAGGGGCTCACACGCTGGTTGCGGAATGGGGTCTTACAACGCTGACGTAGGAGGATGCGGAGCAGTTGATGCCACTGAAATTGCTCTCTGCAATCTTTGCACGAATGAGAAGCTCGTGGAGAACGTATGCTGGGATTGCGCTTGCCCCACGGAGAAACTGTACCACCTGGTCAGCGGAGTATATATTAGAACGGTAGGATTAAGTACATGAAGCCTTACAATATTTGCCTACTGTTTAATTTTTGAGTAGCTAGACTATTCGACGCTTGAACCATTGATTCACAACCTTTTGTCCAGAAGTTGAGGATAAATATCCAGACGATTTACTAGACTTTTAGCATGTTAGTCTTTCAATCAATCTGACAAAAAAAGAGCTGGAAACTACCACCCCAACGAATATGGTTACTGTAGAGAACGATCGATATACATCTAACAGATGTGGGCACAATGTCTGATTTCACCTTTCTGTCTGGATATAGTATACTGGATATCTATATCAAGCTACTACCTTACTACTATAGCACTATTTTACCTGAATTCCGACAGCTTTTCATACCCCGGTTCATTTCTTACATTACTCGAGAGAGGAGACTTTGTCGAGTATTTGATCAAGAATGGTCTAAACTGTCTCCAGAATATATCTCATTGTGTCTTCGCAACAGTATGCATAGACCAGCTCTTGACAACGGCAGTGAGGCCCTTCTGTTTGTCTCGCTCATGTCTTGTGCTGCTCGAAATCAGACTCGGAATTAAAACCGGGCAAAGTGAAAAGATGGCTTCACTGATGTTCCAGAACAGGACACGGGATCCGAGCAACGTGTGAACAAACTAAATACTCGAATGAAGTGTCGCCGCAGGGTAAAAACTCAGACCCATGTGCAAGTGGACTTAGTCGTTGAAGAGCTCATATGAAGAACAACGTTAAGCAAGGTAGACGCGTGGTGGGGGAGAGTGTTCTGTGTACCACTAGAAGTACCAGAAAATGGTAACCGGAAACGAGAGAAACTACGCATGAAAACGACAGATTAGGAGATCAAGAAAAACTGCATCACAAGCATACGATAGGAGGAGGCCGTGCAGGATTGAATAGGTGGCGTACGTTTCCGGCCCTCAACTTGAAAGTACTTTAGGCAAGGCAGGAGTCAGATAGTATTAATGAGATTCAAATAAAATTCCATTTCAACTCCAGATTACATTTATATGTATGAAAGATAATGTATGACATATGCCAACGTCCGTCATTTTGTTATTAAACGAAAAGGTTTAGATTTCGTCGATGTTAGCTGTCAGAGATATTATCAGAAGTGCTTGTTCTTATCACAAGCATCTCTAGAATTTATATATCTGTAACTAAGTGTGGTGAATTCCATCGTGTATAACTTTGGTTTCAAAGTCTATAGGCGAGCAAATCATACATCTCAACATCAAACTTTGAGGTACTAAGAAGAATGCTCCAACAAGAAAAATAATATACTTGGAATTCGAAATGATTATTTTAAAATAATTATAAGAATCCATGGAAGATAAATGAATAAATAATTCCAGTTAAATAATAGGCATTTTAAAATTATATATATATATATATATATATATATATATATAAAGCATAACTCAATTTTTGAATATAAGTATTCTCAAATTATATGATACAGACATCATAAGATATACTCATAATGCATAACATCATTGTATAATAACATAAGAGTATTCATAGAATATATATTTTGGAAAAAAATCAATACTTTAATTATTTTAAAATCAAGAAAGGGATAAAATACCTCAGTTATAACTGTAGAATATTCAAAAAATTCAATATCTACATATTTGAAGAAATACATTAAAAATTTTATTACATTACTATTATCCATAAAATTACTAATGGATGTATGATGCGGATATCAGCTGTATGAAAATATTTATTGTTGGCATGAAAAACATGATTAAAATTTTTTTGTCAATCTGAAATTATAAAATTTGCTATAATAAATGGATATTTAAGTTAAAAATTTAGAAATAAATCAAACTTTTGAAATCACTGATTTACTATTAATATAAGGAAAGTTTTGCCAATGTGAACGTGTAACAAGTGTTTTTAAATTCATCTTGAATGTTCATCACAAAACATTCAAGATTAAGTGATCAACCGAAGCAAAGTTCTAAAAAAAAGGATATATTTTTTATTGTACCAAAAAAGCAGTTTATTATCATGCAATACTCGTTAAATACAGAATATTAAAGACAAACAGTCTATTAAAATTAAAATTAATGTGTCATTAATGCAAATAACTTAAATTTTTGACATTTATATGAAGTATGGTACTTATTATGAGGTGAAGTATGTTGGACTTGAAAAAATGCTCCTTATAAAATCAGTGAAGTTCATTAATTTGTATAATAAAAAGCAAGTTGTTGCAAGATTGTAAACCAAGTAGTTATTATATTTCATACAATATGAAATACTTCGAAAGTTAATGTTACAATTTTTTTTAAAAAAATTTCACTCGTGATACATTATGATGAAAATAAGCAGAACTGCTTTAGTATACTATAGGAATAGTAAGCAAGGAAAATAATAAATAAATAATATAACAAATTCGTCCCAATAAATTTATGATAATGGATATATATTTTACAACATTTAAAATAGCTCAAACATCTACATCAAATTATATATTTTCTCATTCTGTTGTGTTGGTTTATGATTCATAACAGTAAACTGTACTCTTGCATAGAACATTTCAAATTGATCAGAAATTCTAGTTTTATATCACTCAACTAGATAAATTGAAGCGTCAAAGAAGAATCAAATACAATTCACGACATTATCTTGATGTTGCTAAATACTGTTAACTGAATGTCTTGATGAAATTTCGTAGAAATATAAATATAATATTTGAATAATTTAAGTAGAACAATTAAAATGTTATAATTAATTATAAAGGTCTAAAATATATATCTATGTACATATAGATACTTAAAGCATAAAAGATTCAGTGCAAGAATTCGATTTTCTATAATTAAATGGTGATAGAGGTTAAAGCTATTTTAAATAATTGTATAATTAATAGTGATAAACTTTGAAAAAAGTTTAGCAAGAAAAAAAGTATCAAAAAACTGTTTGAAAATACATATATGAAGTTTTGAATTCAAGGTTATAGAAATTTATAGACATGACACTAATTGAAAATAAAAAAATAATCTTAAAAACACTTATTCTTTGATTCTTTCTGTTTATATGCAAGAAATATTTAAATAAAGTTGAAATACCACCAAAACATTCTGATTTTGTTGAGTGATTTTCTAATCGTTATGATTTGTATTGAGCAGTGAATTTTTCATGAGTTTTTCTCATATGTTCATAGTGTTGCAAAAGATTATGGAGATATAAATTTAAATGATAAATATATTATCAAGAATATTTTTTTCAACAATAAGATTAAACATCATCATGAGAAGATTATATTTTTTTTCATATGTGATGAAGTTCTGAATTACATGTTTATAAAATACTTGTTATCAAACCTAAAGAAGTAATGTTGTAATATAATTAGTTTATGATTAAGAAATGCTTGTTTATATATATATTAACATGAACAAGATTCTCCATTTTATCAAATATATGTTTACATTGTTCTAATTTATTTGAATCATAAATCAACACAAAGAAAAAATCATGTATGTGTATACACATACATACACACATACATGGTTCTTTGTACTATTTATATATCATGAACATCATATCATTCAGGCTATATATAAGAGTTATCATAAATTTTTTATCTTAAAATTGCAAAAGTACATATTTAATGGGAGATACTATTGGAAATTATTCGTGAAGTTTATTTCAATAACATCATAAAGTATGTCAATATTTACAACCTTCAACATGTTTCATGAAAGTATTTACATAATAACTATTTACGATAATGGGCTGTACAAAATTGCAATGTATCTTCGATCTAGTAGATCAACTGCAGGTATTGATTTTCGCTTAATATGATACATATAATAAAACAAGGGTGAAATTGTAATTAACTTGAAGTCTCGTGACATGCATATTAAAACTCCATGAACAAATAATTTTACTTTATTTTTCTTTTGCAATCTTGAATGTGCAATCATATATCTTTATCTAAAATAGATATATGCAGTGTACAATGTGCTTAAATTTTAATGTTATTTGTAAATAACACATGCATAAGGAATTATCTTGAATTTGATCTAATATATATAGATTTAATATTTTGATTCGTAATCGCTTTAATTCTTACGATGTTTGATATTGGTTGATTTATGTTCCCGTTTTTGTACAAAAAATATAGGAATGAGTGCAATTTAGGGACATTTTCAAAGGTTGTTGAAACTTCTCTTTAAAAATAGAAGCACGCACTTACAAAATTTCGATATGTTGAATTCATTACTCTGTGGGTGTATGTGTCTAAAGTTTATTTCATATGAAATATTAATCTGAAGATGGCTAGAAGAAAGACTTCAAAAGGAGTTTCAGTGAGTTGTACTCAGATCCTACTGAAGTTAAGCAAAAATGAGTATGTTCATTAACATACTCATTTTTGTGAGTTCCTTTCAAATTGCAAAGTTTTTCAAAGAAATCACCGATCTATGTATGCAAGAAAATTGCTACGTACCTTCTGGAGTATAATCGCCCTCCGTCATAGAATCTTCAAATTCAAAAAACCTGGCACCGGTCATAGCCTGAAGTATCCAGGCAATGAATTGCCAGAAGGATTAATGAGCATGAACAGGAGAAAACCCGCGCTGCTCTACTCCATAAGTGGGCGACGTACAAATCGCGGATCCCGGCCGGTGGGAACGGGGAGAAATCGCGAGCGTCACCCGAGCGAGCGGGGAAGGGGTCATAGTACCTTTACAGTGGAGCCAAATGCGCCGGCAAGTGAAGGAAGCAAGTGAATCGCACTCGGACTCGAGTATCAGGTGACCTGCAAAGTAGCCGTTGGAGGCCGGCGGTGTGACCCAGGAGAGCAGTGAGGTGCCGATTCAAAATTCAAACCATCAACTGCCGGATTGACTCAAGTGAGCTGACTAGTCAGCCTCCCGCCCGCCCGCCCTCTTCGCCTCGTCAACTGCCTTGTCCTACTGAGAGTGTGAACTGGACGAGAGTGTGTTCGTCGAGCAGCAAGTAAGCAAGCGAGCAAAGGCTCAGAGAGGAGGACTGAGCTCAGCCGTTACCACTTTTGTGCTCGAGCTTCGCATCGCGAGAGTCATTTGTAAGCTTTCCGCAGGCAGATTTCCGTACTTGGTCGGCGCTTCGTGCTGACACGAGCTAGTGAGCGAAGAGTGAGTGGTTGTCGGTGCTCTCTCGCTTGGCATCGAGGTTTGCACGCGAAATTGAGGTGAGGGTTGGAGTGAGGTGCGAGTTGAATTTCAGAGACGATCGGTGGCTAGAAGCTGATAGCGAGAAATCATGCCTCCACGAGGTACGAGGAGAGGTGCTGGTGCGAAAGCAGCAGCAGCAGTGGCAGAAGGGAATGATAATGAGAAGGAGAATGTGGGTGCTGCAGTCGAGGCGAAGGGCCCCGATGTGTCGCTTGCGGACGAGCTGGAGGAGATGACGAAGAAGCTGAACATGATCAGCCTCGAGAAGGAAAAAGCCCTGATGTTGGTGAAGGAACGAGAGGCTCAGCTTGAGCAGAAGAATGCTGAAGAACTGAGGCTTCAAGGTCTCCTCTCAGCCAAGGAGCAAGAGCAGAAGAAGCTCGCTGACAAAGTTCGGAAACTTCAGAAAATGAAGGAATTCCATCCCACCATTGTAAGGAGACTGTCTATTATTTCGCTCCTAGTCGTCGTAAGCAACTGGGCATGTTGTAATATCTGCATAACGTCACAGTCCAATCGTCTCACCCTGGTACCGATCTTCTCTGACAGGAGGTTCCCGTCAGCTCCGGAGCCGCAAGCAAGGAGGCCAAGAAGAAGAGAGAAGCCAAGAAGGACAAAGTTAAAAGGCCGATGACTCCTTTCATGATGTGGTGCAAAGAACAACGCCACCAGGTGGGCTTCATGTGTTGCTGCCCAATGCTTGAATCACTTCTCAAAACGTGCCAGTTTCTTCCGACGTGAGCCGGAGTAAACCAACCTTGCTTCACTCGTGTTCAGGTCAAAGAGGAGAATCCGGATGCTTCTTTCGCCGAAATGAGCAGGCTTCTCAGCGAGAAGTGGAAGTCAGTGTCTGACGTGGAGAAGGAGCCCTACGTCGAGAGGTATAAGATCGAGAAAGATGTGTACTTGAAGGTCAGTGTTCGACTCCCACGAGAGCCCGATTATTGCATCCGAAGAAAAGTATCGAATACGATACGAATGTGACTTTCTCTTCCCAAAAGCCACATGAACTCACCAGATTCTTGGTCTATCCACGTGCTAATAGATAATCGGGAACGAGAAGCGAGAGGTGGAAGCCATGAAGCTTTTCCAGGAGGAGCAAAACAAGAAGAACGCAATGGAGCTGCTCGAGCAGTATCTGCAGTTTAAGAAGGTCGGCCTCTCAGCCCCTCCGCTCCTCAACCCCGTCCTTGCTTTTGAATTTTAAATTTCGAACTTGGAACGTTTTGGCCGGCCTTTTTCGTGCGCAAAGTCTGAGAAGTGTTTACGGGCTGCTCGTGCAGGATTCAGCTGACGATGGCAAGAAGAAAAAGTAAGTCACCGCAAGCGCATTGCTTCTGCTAAAATCTGAGGTTTCCGGATTCGTGTCTGGCCCCTTCTGTGTGCCCCATGGGAATGCATCCTCACACCGTTTGCACCCGAACGATGCAGGAAGGAGAAAGATCCTCTGAAGCCGAAGAAGCCGACCTCTGGATTCTTCGTGTACGCGAATGAACGCCGCCCTGCCCTCCTGGCCGAGAAAATGAAAGTCACAGAGGTAAGTCGAATAGGCCTCTGCATCGCGATTGTGCACTCTGCGCGTTCTTAAACTCCTCGGTTCCACGCGGGATCGATAGTGCACAAAGCAGAAAGGTTAACGTGAACTTCTGGACCTGTGCAGATGGGAAGGAAACTTGGGGAGGAGTGGAAGGCTCTTGACGAGCAGCGGAGGCAGCCCTACGAGAAGATAGCGGCCGAGGACAAGGCCCGTTACGCTGCTGAGCTCGAAGCCTACAAACTCAAGAGAGCAGATGTGAGGAGCAAGGCCGAACGCGGAATACATGAACCTTGGTTGTGGTACTTGTTGTTCGTAAATTCGTACACGTTGAATTCTTAGTCTAAGACGAGTATGCTTGCAGGAACTGAAAGTGGCCGAGGATCAGAGTAAAGAGCAGGTGAAGGTCGTGAAGGTGCAGGCCTTGCAGCTCCTCAAGCAAAAGGAAGAGATTGATCAAGTCAAGAAGGTAAGAATGATCGTTGTCGTGCTTCGCCCAAACACAGCACCAGTTACCCATTGGTAGTTCCTCTAACGCCGGCGGACTGATGTCTCTCAGAACTTGAAGGACGAAAAGCTGAAGAAGAAGAAGGACAAGGCCCCCGTTGATCCTAACAAGCCCAAGAAGCCCCCGACATCTTATTTGCTTTTCACGTAAGTCGGGAGATACATTTAAACGTTTTCGAGTCCATGATCGTTTATGCTGTCAGCTAATCGTCTGCATATTTGTTCACAAATTAATGTAAGCTAGTATTCGTCTCGAGCAGAATGGAGAACAGGAAGTTAATCCAGCAAGAGAAGCCTGGAGCAAGTTTCTCTGAGATCAACGCTACCATGGCCATAAGATGGCAGGTAATTACGCTCTCCTTTCAACTCGGACTTGTAAATGAAGTGTCCCGTCTAATTGTATCTACGCCTTCTCCTTGTTACGACCACCCCGAGGCTGAATCTAGATTCGATCTCATTGCAGGAGTTGCCCGAAGACCAGAAGCAGGTCTGGGTTGAGAAAGCGGCAGCAGCCCGAGACACCTACAAGGTGGCCATAGAAGAGTATAACACCAAACAGGAAACGTCACCAACAGCATAGATAGATGCAGAAGGATGGGAAGACTAGAGCAGAATACTTCCGAGGTCTAGAAGAGGTGTAGGTAAATAGTTTGTAACGCCATCCCTGTTCAAGCATTGCCGTTGAACACGAAATATGTCGATTACGGCCTTAATAGTTCACAACTTCACGTCCAAATGTAATGTATAAAACGTCGAATCAGTCGCCATGGGAATCGAAGACTCAAGGTGTAAGAAGACTTATTTTGTAGAATTCAAGTTGATTCATCAAGTGTAAACTGTAGAATGTTGTGTTCAGACGAAGTAAAGTCAACAATTCTACCACGCTCGTTATAACATACCGTGTCGGTGTTACTCAACCGATGACGTCATTCATTTCCGGTATTTGTAATGTCGAGTGGTACTCTTGACGTGGCATTGAAAATCCAGTAGCAGATGGCTAGGTTGTGACAAAAAAACAAACGATGTTCCGGTAAGAGAATTTCAACGTACCTACTGTCGAGGAGCAGAGTCTATGTTTAATGCACGTGCTAGTAACAGACGTCAACATGTGTGATCTGAAGAATAAAACAATCATATCCTTGCAAATCACTTAGTCGTGAGCGAACGTGCATACCTTTAGGAAAAATGATATTCCGCCAAACCAAAATATAACAGAACACTATCGAGCAAATAGTGTGAGAAGTGACATAATCTTAGAAAATTAGGTCAAAAAATTGTGAGAAATAACGCACGTTCACTTACACATTCAACGATAGTCAACATCTGTGTACATACCCCGAAATAATAACACCGAACAGAAATTCAAATCGAAGGAAAATGAAATAACCCCCTTTTCGTATAAATTTAATATTTACTTTTCGAACTTACAGTTACCTTGATATGGTAGGCACTTATAATATATTCTCACTCGTCATTCAACAACCAGCTCTCACTAATAGATAACAACTGTAGCAGCTCCAGTTTTATATCCGTAGTGTACGTAAAGTCCTGTTTTTTATTTATTCGGAAAGGTGGCGTAAACACTTTCACCACGCCACGAAAGAATGAGATCACGATAAGGTGGAAAAACAAACACGATCAAGTTTTTATACGAGTGTAATCAAGAACCCGAGGACAGGAAATATAGTACAGTACGGTCTTTACAGCAAATTCTATCTTAAGTCTTAATGTACAGAAGTCATTTCTTACAAGAGCATATATCAAAGACGGTGGAGTGTACATTTCAAGGTACATTCGAGAGAATATGAATCCCCAGTCTACTGGTCTACATCTCTTCAGGAGGAACTTTTACAAGCGGCACGGGCCAGATGTATGGAAGAGAATCAGGTTCAGTCCAGCCAAATTGCCCGTAATGTTCAGGTTCCTTTCTCAGCAGATTCGATCTATGAGAGGCGTGAATGGCATCGTCTCCTGTAACAAATACAACACGATGTTCTTCAGTACCAGATTTGCTCCTGCTGAATGGGTACGTTCTTGTATTGCAGTCAGCGGAGCATATATCTTGCGTGGAAAAGACGCACAAAAGAGATGAAGCAGAAGGACAGGACCACCGACCGAACCAAGGTGGCATAATGGGAGCAGAATCGGCCGGGAGTTCAATGGGCTGCAGCAGTATGTTCCTACATCCTCGGCGCTCCCACTCCGCCAAGCAAATGTTGTAGTAACAAGCCAGTGCATCAGAGTAACCCCTCCACATTCGCACTACGGGCGCGTTCACCCAGCCCCTCCGCTTGCCTTTAGCGACATCGACCGATTTCGGTGCAGTGGATGCCACCACGAGAAGCTCATGAACCAAAGGCTTCACCAATTCCTTCGGAGGAGGCTTCGCGAGAAGATCTCCATTCACCGGCGGCGGATCGTCGCTGATGACGTTCAGAATTTGCATGGCCTCGACTCTTTGCTTGCCCAGGCGCCTCTTGTCCAGGCACTGAATGCTTCTCTCCAAGCTCGGATATGGCAAAAATGTGTTCAGAGCTCGAATCTGCATCTGCGACCTCGACCTCCTCGGAGTGCACGGGCTCAGCTTGGCGGGCATCGGCATCGGCCCGTAATTGTGAAACGCCGACAGCGCTGTTTGGAACGAGGCCGCTCGAGACATGCTGCAATTTGCTCTTGCACGCGGGCCAATCTACATGGCAGCCGTTACACAGACGCAGCGACGCAGCGCAGACCGTTGCCGCGGGCGAGAACAGTCGGTCAGTGCAGTGCATGCGCAAATTCGAAATAGGAATCGAAAAATCGAAGGCGCGGTGTGGTGACAGAGCGCCCGAGAAGCTGTCGCTGACCGCCACCTGGCACGGACACGGCGGATTCATCTCACCTTCGAGACCTGACGGGCTCTTCCGACGCCTGCTCTATACGACAAAAGAGCTTCCCGTCGAGTGCTCATCGAGCTGACACGCAAGACCTTCGAATGAGACGAAGCATTTACCGTAAATAAGGCCCAATCACGTTTCAACACAGGGTTGTGATCGACACATCCTTTACAGCAACTTTTGTTTTCCAAATTTTGATATTCGAAATAGAGTATTAGGCAACCAAGACATACATTCTGGGTACATTTTGCGTTGTCTATAGACATTTCTTGAGGCAACCCAAGATAGGGAAAATGATAATGATACAGTATTCACTCCATATAATCAGATCAAACATTGTTTGCAGTCTCGTGGAATGAGAGCGGACGGGAACATTCCAATTTCCTATCCATCCTCGCTTTGTAAACACACGGTCAAACCTTAATATCCCCTTGGCCTCCTTTTGAAGAACAGGTGCTTCAAGCAGTACCTCATTGAGTGAGTCGAGCATTCTCCGCAAATTCCTCACCTCATCTCCGCGTTCCACCTTTCCGCACCCAAGTTCCAAGCGATGTCAGGTTCGGGTCGAGGTTCGTGTACAGAATTTCGCTGCTGGCACAAGTGTAAGCCAATGATTGTGGGATGCGGCAGGCACAACAAGCTCACGTGGCATTACCATCTGCTGTGCATATCCGTGTCGATACCCACGATAGGTAAATAGTGTCATTGCACATATCAGTGTCGATACCCGCGAGGAGTTTACTTTTCTCACTCGTCACACTTGCATCTTGTAAAACAAGAAGTCTCGTACTACGTGATTTCAGAAATGCCCACATATGCACTGTGTTTGCCGTGAACAATGGATCAAAGTTTCCTGTGGCGAATAGCAAAAACAACCTCGAAAACGAGTTCTGTTGGAGAGTGAAAATGTTGAAATGGAGGCTCCTCTGATCAACGATGCCGCGATTACAATTCAATCCGACCTCTGGGTGGCAACATGGCGTTTCTCAAAAGACTCCTTCTAACGAGAATGCATGACAAAACACCATTCTAAGGAATCAAAGCATAACGCACATCGTGTACACCAAAATCTTCAATTGATTGGCCAAAAAGGTTCGTGACACCAGGCTAGGTCTCCACGCAGACTGGAGTTGTTCCAAAATTTAACATTCACAGGCCATAATCGTTGTCCACGAAGACAAAGACTATGACTCCATCCGATTTCTACTGTCATACAGACGGCAGTAAGTTTGGACTAGCCAGAATCAAATGAACAGTGTTTTGATGTTGTTTTCAATAAGACAACCACCTGAGCTATTGAAACCTAACCTAGTGCACGTTTGAACGTACTTCTGGTTCTAGATGCTTTGATCACAAGATTAGACTGAAGCTTTGACCACCAGGCAGCTTGCGGATAAGTTCTCAACATGTCAAGACTTAACTCATAAACAAATGCTCCGCTCCTGTCCGTAACAAGACTTTGAACTCCTTTTTGATACTCTACGTCGACAACAAGAAGCACTTGACTACATTATCTCGCTGAAAATTGCTGGAAGGTTATGCACCACTTCTGTGTACTTTCCTCCTGTCTACGCGCTTGTACTATCCTTCTCATCACCTTTAAGGTAGAAAACAAAGCGCTGCATTTGCTCTCCTCCCTTCCTTCTTACGGCCTGACAGAGATGGACAGTGATACCACCCAATCGCGGACAACCGACAAAGCATATGATCAAGCCGCCTTTGTCGCATTCGTGTTGACAGCTTCTGGCTCTGGCTCGGACTTGCTAATATGAGCGCGCGCACGACGCAGCTTCTTACACAGGTCGTCATAGCGTAATCGATCCTACAAGCATATGCAGTTGTTAAGCTCATTGCATTGTTGACTGATGTGAGGTTGTTAAACGTATGAAAATATATGTATTCATCTTTTGCCGTGTCACTGATTAGGAATTCAGACCAGGTTTGACTTGAACGGCAATCAGTGGAGCAAGGAACAGATGTACAGAACTCAGTAATACATGGGTGTCATAGCCTGAAGAAAAGCGTATAGAAATTCTAACAATGAACAGAGGTATAGACAATGACACTTGAGAGTAAACAATACAATTTGCCTCAAATCGAAGTTTCCTGGTAACTTCCAGGGAACACTTCACCGACTAAATTTCCTCACTCACCAGCTGAGTGAGTTAAGATATAATAAACAAACCAAGGAAACGCCAGAGAAGAGTAAGAACTGTACAAACTTTGATCAACAACCACGTTACTCATACAAATTAGGATCCATAATAAGAAGGTACCTTGTTGGACACAGACGGAAAGACCCGAATAAAAGCTGAATTGAAATGCTCATTAGTTACGAGCGGTCCACTGTCTTCAGTTGCACGAGCAGCTGCTTCAGTAATATTGCCAGCAGCAACTTCTAGTCTTCCCAACTCTTTCTCCCTCAAAGAAGAAATGCAAGCCTCCCTCACCTGTAGGCAAAAATTGTGAGGATTATATTAGTTCAAAATATAGGGACAGACTTTGAAGGAAAAGTGCCTCAATCTCAATGATTCATAGAAAATACTGTTAGCTAATAACTGTAATTGTAGCATACAAAAGTACTGAATGACAAAAGTTGCAGAGATGATTTTAGCATAGTTCATGCAAAAAAAAACTAATGCACTTTCAAAATTTGAGATTTCAAAATCTAGTATGATTGCGATGCAGACTTCCTACACAGGATACATTTCCTAAATTTTCTACGAAAGACGTCGAATATGTTCAAAGTTCAGACAAGCTGGTCAAGTAGCTCACAAGAGATGCAAGATCGGCTCCACTAAAGCCTTCGCAGCGTTCGCTCTCGCCAATAGCACAAACATCCACATCTGGGGCTAGAGGAACCTTACGAACCAAGGTCTTCATTATAGAACCTCTTCCTTTAGAATCAGGAAGTGGAACGTACAATAGCTTATCAAGACGTCCAGGTCTCATTAAAGCAGGATCAATCATGTCAGGCCTGTTAAATGGAAAACAAGGTACTTCACAAGTCAGAAACATGGAGGGGAACGCCGACAATTAAAACGTTGAAGACGTTCCACCTTCGACAAGTGTGGAAGATCTAAACTTACTGCCTGCATAAAGCATACACTTGCCTGTTCGTCGCAGCAATGACGAAGATACTCTTCCTTGACTCCAGCCCGTCCATTTCTGTAAGAAGCTGAAGACAGACAATTAAGACAAGTTAGTTGGGGATATGGTTTGTTCTTAAGAGGTTGGCGTGACCACATTTTCAATCTATTGTAGAATAGTCCACTTTTGTACGTTGTATTTCGCGTCCAGGTTTGAAATCTGTCATTTAACAACACTTCGAAGAAACTATCGCCTGCAGACAAAGCCTATTGGATGCGACTAGATAAAGATTCTCTAGTGCCCCAGTTGAAGTTCTAAGTTTCTATCAACATATTGATGTTTGCAAATCACCTGATTAACCACTCGCTCCGCAGCGGCATTCCCATCACTTCCACGCTTCGGTGCCATTGCATCCATCTACCATCAAAGTATCAATGAAGAGGATTAGCATGATAAATACAAGATGTTGTTGAATTGAAATGTCCGGCTTGATGCATGACGTATGAGGTCGAAGGATTGGATGCCGAAAAAAAACGTAGAAGTGGTCAGATATCCACATCAAGCGGCCACAATCCACAAATCGATGATTCAGCAAGTCGACTAGTTCCGTACAAAAAAGAGCGACCTCGGCTGTTACAACCCTTTCTGTGTGTATTTTGTCCTCTTCCTTACACAATTTATCTCGAGTCAGAAGTGCCAAGTGTGAAAACAGCTCCAACGCTTTCTCCAATGAAATGAAACAAGTGAGAAATCCATAGATACCTCATCGAAAAATAAGACACAAGGTGCTGAAGCTCGCGCTCTCGTAAATAGTTGGCGTACGGCACGCTCACTCTCTCCCACGTACTTGTTGAGAAGTTCAGGGCCCTGTTTTTATGTAGCGCACTCGTCAGTAAGGGCACATTTCCAAAACTTGAAGCAATCAGGTTCTTTCTCCAACCGGAACTAATACTTCAAAATAAAGCATAAATTATACTTGAGTCAGGTTGAAGACCTACTTGACATCCCTCAAGTCGGTTTTTAACTGTCCTGATCATTTAATCCGTCACTAACTTAAACTGAAAGCCCCAATTCAAACAACTGTCCCTGAACCTCAAACAAACTTCGAACGGTGTCCGCTAGTTCTCTGTGTGCATTGCTTTGACGGTTGACTATAAGAACAAACTAACCTTTACACTGATGAAGTTCGCCCCTGCCTCATTTGCAATAGCTTTTGCCACCAGTGTTTTACCACAACCAGGTGGTCCATATAAGAGCACTCCGGTAGCCATGTCTAGTCCCATTGCCTGCGAATAGCATCAGCTCAACGTTATTAAAACCTAGAATTTACTTAGTTGCAAGATTGCGGACAGCAGGCACAGGTTCTTCGACCGTTCTAAACTAAGTGAATGCATTTGAATCGCCTCTCGAACTTTCTTCAAAAAGAAACAAGAATTTGCGTCCGTACCTGGTACTCCTCGGGATACTTGATAGGTCTGGATATAGAAAATTCCAGCTCCTCTCGAACAGTTCCTAGAGAACCAACATCATCCCACGATACATCTGGAATGGTAGCGAATCCTTCTCTCTTAGCTGAAGGTTGAACTTTAGAAACAGCTTCCTGCCCCCACACAAACCAAAATCGTATTATTCGGCGAATCCCTACTATCATTCAAAGTACAACGAGTGACAAATTTAAGTGAAAAATCCACTTCTCGCGACTACCACGCTATTAAGACAAGAAAACAGGAAGTTTTTCACACGAAATGCACAAAGCCGGACACTTTCAAGGTTGACAAACGAAAGGCAATGGACTGTCCGAAGCAAGCGAGCTAATCTTCCCTGCCCCGCGGTGCTAGATTACGGCAAGAGCAGGGCCCACAGCACATAGCAAGGGAACTCCGAGATCCTTATGCTTCGAAGACGGGATTAGGACTTGTGCACGTTAAGAAAAACCATCACCAAAGAAGTAACAAGCAGGGTCGCTTCACACAATTAGAAAACACCAGGACGAACCTCGAAGTCTTGCATAGTAATCGAAAGTGAATCCATCTCTCCGCGGGTCCATGGGCGCCTCCAAGACTCAGCCTCACCATCATCGGTGTCCATATCTCCACACACGGATGCACTTTCGACAGACCCGGTCCCTCTAACCACTGCCAAGGTGGAAGGGTCATCGTGGGGTGTATCAGCCGCGTCCATACTCTTGCAATCTTCTGCTATGGTTGAAACCTTATTTGCATCATGGAACCCACCATTTGCTGAACCGTTTCTAACAACAGGAGATGGGGCTGCAGCTATCCTGCAAATAAATACCACTTACACTTCAGATCCAAACCTTGAAAACCACAAAATATCACGGACCAAAAAGGAGTTCTTCAGGTAGCGATATGAGATTGATGAAAAGATTGAATAATTCCTGGAAGAGAGTGAAAAAGTGTACCTCGGATCTCTACTTTTGAAAATCCTAGTCACTGCTACAGCCGCTGCTTCTTTGATCAAAGCTTGCAGATCTGCTCCGACAAATCCAGGCGTGCGCCTTGCTATAAGCTTGAAGTCAAATGAGCCCTCCAATCTCAGTTTCTTAGAAAGCACTGAAAGTATGCGTGCCCGAGCCACCTCGTCTGGGATGCCTGAATTGCGACACAGGGAGTGAGAAATGACCCCACAGGCGCCGTTGCATACGGTTAAGGTTCAGTATAGAGATTCTGACAGCCGTGAATGTTAATTTGATCTTACCAGAGGAACAATCCACGTTCAGGACAAGGATAGTGGATGCATGAAGTCAAAGAAATCAAAGCACAGTGGTTCCGCTGATTACCTAGGGCTATTTCTCGGTCAAAACGACCTGCCCTACGCAATGCTGGATCAAGAGCATCGGGACGATTAGTAGCTCCGATCACAACCACATGCTTAAATCTTCTCTTTGCGGATGCAGCTGAACCCTCATCTTTGTCATGTAATGACTGGCCCAAATCATCCATACAGGTCAGAAGCTGTGCAACGATGCGGCGTTCCATTTCCCTCTGTGCTGTTTCTCTCTTCGGAGTTATTGCATCAATCTCATCAATAAAAATGATGCATGGGGCAACCTTTGCTGCCTCGGCAAAAAGAGCTCGAACCTTAGCTTCCGATTCACCTGTAAAGTACAGAAAAGGAAATGAAGAAGTTAGAGTCATCATTAAATTTCTGAATTCTATAGTGCGTGTGCCTTCAGACTAAACATGGGATGAAGAAAGTAAATCAGAAAAAACCAACCATGGATCAAGAAGCTATGCCACTTGAACGTACCTGACATGCCTGAGACGACCTCCGGAGCAGAAATTTTGAGAAATGGTACTCGAGCCTCCACAGCTATGGCATTTGCCAACATCGTCTTCCCACATCCTGGAGGCCCATGCAGAAGGACTCCTCTGGGAGGTTGAACCCCTAACCATTCATACAGTTCTGGGTGCGCTAGCGGATACTCTATAACATTACGAATTATCTCAATAGTATCCTCAATGCCACCCAAATCCTTGAAGGACACGTTCTGAGGTATCGTACTGCTCACGGATCCAGTTCGTTCAGATGGTGAGTAGTCCGTACCACCTTTGTTGTTGTCATTGTCCCACTTCCACCGCTTGTTGCTCCGCGGTTTATCCTTAGTTCGATCTGAGTCCTTAACAACGACCTGCCCGGAGCTCTCCCAAGTGCCGATACTCTTCTCTCGTTCCAGTGTTCTACTCTCAAAATGACTTTCAGTTGCTCCTCGTGAGAAGCTTTGTAATTTCGATCCAGTCTCGGGACCAGAGTATGCAGGACTTTGAAAGTTCCCACGCAATTTTAAACCTTGTGGTGGCCGCCCGCTTGATTGTCCAGGAGGAGAATCCCGGAGAAGGTCTAAACCGTCCCGCCCGACACTAGCCCCGTTTGAAGAAGTTTTATTAAAAGCTTCTTTCGTTTCTTGATCGATTACAGGACCCTTACTCCGGGATCTCTTTCCCGACATTGCTGCTCTAGCTGCTTCGACGATGGCACTTGGAGCGGCGAAGGCAGGCTTCGATTCTTCTTCCGATGCCTTGCCATTTACATAGATACCCCTGGAACTTTCACCCGGTATGTGATTGATATCTTCTGTTGTCTTCCTGGGCAATGAACTGAACTTATATAAGGACGATGACGATCCAGCATGCACGATTTTCTCTCCTGCAATTGAATGATCGATTACAAGAGTTGGCCTTGCAGTGTAGGTCGTTCTTAATGCAGAATTCAGCAAGTTCTGTCTAGGTATCTCCTCCTCCATACCATCAAAAGCAAGTTCTTCCTCACTGTCACTGTTATCTTTATCCTTCCCGGCTCTTCGACCGGTGGCTCTCTTCCTATCACGGAGGGGTCCCTTGCCTTTACCGTCGGCCGCTGCCTTACCATTATTCTCACGGTGTCTTGCCTTTCCCCTAGCAATCCTGTCGATCCACTGATTTCGTCTTTCACTATCCTCTCCGTCCGGTCCACCCCCTTCACTCATGCCCTCGCTTTCTACTCCATCACTGTTTTCACTAGAATTATCCAAACTCTCCGCCTCTAGCTCGTCCTGCCCTGTTCTTGACCTGTACCGCATGATGTGTCTCGCCTCTCTCTCCTGCAAAATTTCCTCACCTAGACGAGAACAAAGTACAATTGGTTCGTGTTATGAGAATTTTCCATACGTCAGATGAACAACTGGAAAAAAGGCATCATCCTTAATGACTCGGAACACATATGCTATTCTATCCAGCAGCTAACGTCGAATGAGAACTACATTCTTTACATCGTTCATAAAGTACATTCTGTTGCTAAGTCTGCATGTAGACCGTTGGAAGGTTTGCCTCCCTGACTTGAACGCTAGACATCAACCAGATGGAACAAATATCCCATTGCTGTAATGATGATCTGATTGAAGAGACCAGAAGAAAGAGGCCTCCCACTGTGAACCATCACCACAAATGAATGTGTAATCATCCTATGTGTACGTCCACTGAGGAGATAAGAAGAGGGGAGAAAGTCCAGCTTTTAAGCTTGGGAAACCCAAGCTTTGAAGACTGGAGATGTTGGTAGAACCGAACCTTACCAAGAAATGAAGATGGACAACAGGGAGACTAGGTATAAGGTCCAAAGGAAGACAAAGCCAGATGAAATCAGGAGAGTGTGGAGGCCCTGCCTGAAGATGGAACCTATTGACAAACTGGTTCCCAAAAAAAATGTTTGTCAGGCTATCTGGACATACATGAATCTACAAACAAGATCACTAGAAGTTCATTAAGATAGTTTAAAAGTAGATGCGGACCATTTGGCTAGAAATTTGATCAAATAGCGAGGGTTCCGAAACACACTGGAGAACGAAAACAGAGCAATCTGCTCTCCAAACGAATTGCTACAAGAGATCGCATCAAGTAAGCTCTCATTTCATGCCTGGGCGATCAGATGAGAAAGAACAAGCCAAATAAAATTTGAACAGAAAACCGACTGATGATACCCTGAAAGATGAACGTCAAAAGGATGTAGAGCTTACTCAAGGTCCTGCCAACATTCCCGAAGATGGTAAAAAAACGCTTGAGTGGAAGTGGAATCGTTTCTCTCAGCCCATATAAACGACCAGCTTGCAAAAGCACTCACTACACCCTAGCTATCTACGAGGGGACAAACCCACATAAAAGGCACTGAAGGACTTTAAGGGGTAAAATGGCTTATCTCCGATCCACGGTGTACGCAAGCAAGAAGGCAACAGAGTGAGCTCTTCCAGAAACAAAGAAGATAGTTTCTTCACGCTTGAGTGGCAAGACTGGGAACTAATAACACTACACACACAAGGATAGTGATCTTAGACGAAAGTTTCTTTGCATCTTAGGGCGAGTTTAGGAAGAAATTATCTCCGGTTTTCACAAGACCATCGATCAAGATAGGATGTCATGGTATCCGGTTTACAAATACACCACCAGCCAACTCATAGAACAAACTCTCGTCCATATCAGGAACTCTGTAGCCCCTCGAGAACTTTTGTGCTGGCAAGTTCTGCATACGGACGTATGATATATCGAAAGAAAACCTATAGGGAGATTAACGTGACACGCAATGCATTGAAACAATGCACTGTGAAGAAGTTGTCTGCTTCGGGTCATATTTATCTACTGTCATGCATTTTTGTTTCAGGTTCTCGCTTTGTCTTCAAAATATTAAATGCCACTTGAGGTGAACAAAAATCTAAATTCTTATTGTCTGATTGGAACCAATCAGGTCGCAATGTAAATTCATAAGAGACCCCATAGTAAATGATTGATAGCGAGAGGTGGGTGCCATAAGACTTCCACTCAAAAAGCAACAGCCTGGAAGGAAACCCAAAGCCATTGCTGTACTATCAATTGCCTCACATTAGCGTGCAGAATATGACCAAAAAAAGGTACTTGAAAAATACACATCTTCTCTTATTATATCCCTCGCTGTTCTTTTCAAAGTTTTCGGTTTTAAGGTACCACGCGTCTACAGCAGACAGTTCCCAGTTTGAAAACCACTAAACATACTTCTCTCGGAGTGCCGTCCCCTTTCCGAGAACTACCTGTCCTTGAACTTCAATTCCAATTTTCAAGGTCCTAAATGATACACCGCCAGGAGAGCCAAATCATACCAAGAGCACCGTGATTGAAACCATTCACGCTGGAGGTGAGCCCACAATCGATGCGATCAGGCAAAGAGTGGTCCTAAGCATGAATCAGACCTTAACTCAACTAACGCGCACTTACCCAAGTCGCGGGCAGGTACCTCAGGTAACTCTTCCTCAACAATATTCTCCTCTTCTGCACTTTCCTCCGGGAGAACCCTTCTCTTGATAATTTGCACAGCTCTGGTCACAATCTTTCGAAACGGCCCTTGCTGCTTGCGGCGGTACTCTTGATAGTTCCTCCTCAAATACTCCACAGTGTTATCAATATTCGATATCGAGTTGTTTTGCGCATACTGCTCTAAACGAGGAAGGAGCAACTTATCGAGAATATATGAGTCCGTCGACCCAACGCCCGTCCGACTACCCTGCCCACTACTACCAAGCGACCCACTCCTGCGCACTCCCCTCATCCTTCCTCCGCTTTCATAATCTCACCACTTCCAAACCCTGCCTCAGTCTCGAAACCAACTCTTCGTTCGTCTGTCAATGCTCGGAAGCCAAACACCTTTCGCACTTCGTCCTCCCCACTCCACGTCACAATTCAATTGCCCTCCAAGAACGACCAGTGCTAATGAATCTCGCCAGCGCCCGGAAAAGACATCGTCACGAGGGGGAAGCCTGTTGCGATTTTGAGGCGCGCCTCCAGCTCCTCGTCTGTCCGTCTTGTCTTTCACTGCCCCTCCCGCTATCCTCCCCTCCCCTAATTTCAAGCCGAAACTCTCTCCCTCCACAATCTCGGGCGCAGCGGAGCAATTGCGTCAGCACTGTGGCGACGACAGCACCCCGGCTCCGCCTCGTTGTACTTGCGGATTCTCTCGAGTTGTTGAATATCCCGTACGAAAAACAGTTTACCTGCGGCAATTCCTCCCTTCGCTTTCCTGCCTCCTCTCGCCCTCTGTGCGCTCTCTTTCCTCGAGCCCCGGCCGACGGAACGAGAGTTCGAACTTCAAAGACTTCTTCTGCCAGCCAGCCAGCCAGCCAGCGCAGGGCGCAGGGCGCAGGCAACGGGGAGGGCAGGGGAGCGGGGGCAAGCAGGCAGGTCGAGGTCGAGGTCGGTGAGCGAATGGGCGTACTGTGCCGTGGCGTAGTACCACGTGTACCGCAGTCGCCCCGGCTCCCGGTTGCCGTCGTCCGGCGTACTGTAATGCAAACTGGCACTACAGTAGGTCCAACATAACCCTTTTCACACGGGCCCGTGAAGTCCTGCAGGCGGAATGTTCCGTCCCGGACTGCATTGTTCGTTAAGTACCTCTGGGATCGATCCACAACTGTAACGTGGGGGGCCGCGATGAATCTGGGACTGCGATGTGTTGGAGTAAAGCGGTACAGGGCAGAAAAGAGGCTGACAGCTTGACCTCCATCGACGATTTGTTTCGAGCCTCTGGAGTCTGCACCCTGAGACAAGATTCAGTACACTGTGAAGCAATCAAGTATGCAAACTCCCAAAAGGGAAACACCGTAGGTTGCAACAGCGCACGATACCACAGTGCAAAAGTTCCTTAGGCTTGCACCGACCCGACTCTCGCAGCTCTTCTTCCACTGAATCCCGTAATGGGGTGCGAGTGTGGGGAAGGGGGGACAAGCGTCTGACACATGATTCTCGGTACTGTATGCTGCTACGGTGCTGGTAAATTCGTTGATCATGTAAAGAGCCGGTAGAAGAGTTACTCCCCATCCAATACTTGAGGTTTTCTGCGGTGAATCCTACGATCGGTCGAGTCGACTTGTTTTCCATGGTGCAACTAGAAAGCGACTTGTGTCCCATAAAAGTGGGCGGCTGCCCCACTGACCTAATGACGCGAAAGAAAATTCCAAAAAAAAGTTATGTCCAAGGCCCATGGGTTAGTATGGAGTTAGGCTTTATTAAAATTACTATGGGAAGCATATATTGTTGTGTCCTCCTTATCTGGATCAAGTTGTCTATTGCTCAAGATTATTATTAGATTTTATGCTCTCTTGTGGATATACTGAAATAAAAGCCCCTTATTTTATTTTCTTTATAACAGAGGACATCTGTTGTCTGAAATGATGAACATAATATAATATGAACAATGATGCTACTTTTCACTTAGTGTAGTCTTCAGAGTCCATCATTAATATACTGAGATATGTGTACATTGTTTCATATATAGCTCTATTTTTACATAACAATTATGCATTTGGAAAATCTTCGCTACCACAATTACCCTCCGGTTATCCAACATATCTCATCTTTACCACCATTGTGTACTTTCAAAGAGATATATTTAATGTTTAAATTTTACATATGTATATCTTAACTGTTAAGAATGCACTTCATTATTATTACAACTATGGTAATGGTAATAAATCAAGCCCGAGATTGCTATTTTCTCTCCAATCAATTATGAATATATTGACTCGAGCTGATTACAACGCACAGTAACTCGCTATCTCCGTTGAATATTCGCACTCAAGCGTCAAGACAAAGAACGAATGACTAGCATCATGACTGACTATACGTCGTCCAACAACAAAGGTATGGCCCAGCAAGAAATCTGCAGGAAGGAAAGAACCGCATTCTACACTTTTATCGACAACTCCCCGCACGCACAACAAGGCTGACGAGCATGTCCGCGCTTCTTGGACGTTATGCTAACGCCGTCCAATCAACTTGACCGGACGTCTACTGGATCTGCGACTTGCTGACTGCTAATCGTGTTCCTCGCGGCTGCGTGAAGCCAACGACCTCAGCCGTTGGATGGCCTTTCTCGATGTTGGAAACCGCTGGAACTCGTCAACTTACGGTAGCTCACCGTCGCCACCATTGCGAGCGCGTGTACAGACAGCGCGAAGTCTTCCCGTGGTAGCCGTTGCCCTGATGACCAACTTACTATAAAGTCTTACTATGAAAGCGCAGTTGCTCCTGAACTGCCTAATAAGTCGCTCATTGATTGGGTTGTCATAAGTAGAATTGACTGATCGGGTGTTATGATAGTGATTCGGTCGCGACATGTATATTCTGGAATCTACGTGCATCTCTTACTATTTGCTATTCTACTTATTTTCTCTGAATCCACTGCAGCAGCTGTGGTTGGAGTAGAGTGTATCCAGTAGTGACATCCTGCCCTCCATCTTGGAACGTTGTGGTCGTTATCATTCCCATTATGTAAGTTTGCTTGTTCAGTTTGGGCCCTACAGATCTCGAAAACTAGATATTCTATAACACACTCTGTCTATTATCGATGTTAGAGGGAAGGAGATATTTTCCTCTGACATTGTAGTGGAGGCCAAATTCAGCCATCATTAGTTGAGAAATGGAGTGCCCCACATCCTGTCCTTGTTGAACCTATTGATTACTATATTTTTATTTTTATTATTATTATTGGTAGAGACGTAGAGGTTTATATGAAACATTATATGCTCTTTTTTATAGAAGGCTGAAAAGAAGATAGCTGCAATTGTGTTTTTTACACGGCATCGATCATTCGCCAACAGCAAAAATTAGAGTAAGAACTGGATTTGAATAGCTTTCCACAACATTGAGTATGGTTCACTTTAAAAGCATGTGCCTCACTAGAGCAGATGTGGAAAGTATCTTCGAACATGCTGTTCATTTCCAAATCCATGGGATCGGGGATCGGGGATCGGATTTGAGGTTGCAATATTTTATACTCTTACTTCTCTAGTAAAGTGATCATGCATTAAGTTAGAAGGTTAAGTTTGGTCCAAAGTGGATAAAATTGAAAGTGTTGCGTGCTCGGACTTCATTTTCGTTGTGTGTCATTTCAGAATCCAAACATGGGCATGCGAGAGTGTATAAAATTTTAGTGAGGAAACAAATGTAAAGAGCACAGCCTAAGCATGAGTTGGATAAAATTGTCATAAGTGCAATACAAACATTAAAAATCTAGTAACTTTAAACTACTTACTAATTATGATTTTCATATAATCTACCATGATAGATGACTTTCTTCAAATGAAGGGTCTTTGGCACTTGCAAGTTTTATATTTATCTACTCAATCCTATTATGCATTTTGCAACTTTTAAGTTTTTGAATTGCGTGCTTTCTTTAAAGTTTAGTAAAATCTTTCCGCATAAATGAAGTATTTTTAAAATAGTTCACTTCATTGCTCTAGTAGCATCTATACAATGGATAGCGTTATATCTTTATCTACACTTCAACTAAATGCTTTTATTTGATAGGATGTTTTCTCTTACTCAAAGCTGAAAAGTGACTTTGAAATAAAGTCTCTACGGCATTTAAGCTTTATTGTAGAAGTTCCATTGGGGTTGATAGTTGAATTTTATTATCATTGTGTGCACAGAAAGATAGAAGAAATCAAATTGTTTGTATTTTATAATAAGATATTTGTTTATGATATTGCAATTTGATTCAAGAACCAATTATAATAAAACATCATTTTTTAGAGATTTTTTCTAAAATATGATTGAATTCAAGTCAATCTTGTGACATTAATTTGAAGCGCAAATTTTTCATTTAAAAGTGTTGAGGTTAACTCGTGTGTTTTGGGTTAACCTCTGGGTAACTAAGTTTAGCTAACCACCGCCTTACATTTGAAAATAGAGATTAGCATTGTCAAATTCTTTGCTTCTTTTAGTATATAATATAAATATTATAATAATAAATTTTAAAAAATTTTAATTCTATTCAATTCAATTCATCACCTTAAGCATGATGATACATTATACTATTAATTGAAAATATCTATTTTCATTAAAATAAAAAAGAATTTATGTATCTTCAAATATATAGAAGAATTAAAATATAAGATAGAAAAATAAATAACCCTGTAATTTTAAATATGAAGTAACTTATCAATTTCTTACCATTTGAAATCAAATATTATTTAAAAATTTGGTAAGCTATGTAGATATAAGATGGATTATATAATCACGACAATTTTTTAAAACCGTGTATTAAGTATTGTAGATACGTACTAATTCTACTTGTTTTGATACAAAATATTACATATCATATTCTAGATAAGGTCAACTTAATCTCTGATTGATTTTTAAAAATCATGTCACCACAGTCATTAAGAAAGAAATTAGTCTCATGTAGCAACGAAAAACCATGTATCTTGTATATCTATCAAGGAGCTAATATGTTTGCAGTCAAAGGTCTAAATAATAGGTTAAAGTATTTCATTATAGCAAGGCCTGTAGACATGTGTGTTCTTCTCTCAGCATGTTTAGTCATGAATCTACTAATATAGAATATTTCCAGAACTCGAGTCTTGCATGGATCGCGCCAGAAACTAAACCTGGGGTCGTCTATGAAACATAAGACAGTAAAGAGAGTGGATTTTCAGTAGTCATAATTATAGTTAATATTTGATAAAACTATTTGTGGACTTTCTGTACAAGTCTTCATGTCGGTGCATTTTTTTCTGCAAGGCGTGATGGTTCGAACGATTATTGTATGAGGCAAGTTTATTTTCCTTGCTTGACCAAGACATTTATCAACAGTCATTCTAAGTGAGCTCTTCAAAACTGCAAATCATACTCGGATGCAGTTCCTCCGCCATTCTCGTTGTGGATCCTGACTCTGTCATCTCTGTCTTTCTCAGAGCTCGAAGGGCTCCAGCTAATGACCCCGAAGGCTTCTAGCTCTCGACCTTGCGGAAAATTCGACTCAGTTCAGCATCAGGCTACGGTGCTCAACAAGTGTTGGAAGTAATGCAAGGGAAGGAATATCGTTTCCGGGCCAGCGACAATCTTGTCAATATGAGTTCGTATGTTCTCCAGATTGGAAATCGAGGGGAAAGTTTGAAGCTATCGTGTCCGTATAGGAGGAGTTCAGCGATCCTGGATTCCAAATCGAGTTTGTTATTCCAATGCCGACAACAATCTGTTCAGGGATTCAGATTCAGGAAGAGGTAGTGTGTGCAGGCGGATTACTGCGGAGGAGTTTCATCTTGATACGGACAAGTTTTTATACAACTCTTTCTATGTGCATTTGAAAATCCTGTGCTCAAAATTCTTTCGAATCCTCACGCGAGGTGAGTATCTATAACAAGTCAAGCGAATGGAGTCAGTTACTGCCTCATGGAATCAAGTGAGAACGTTGACAATTGTAAAAGCATAATTTCCATCTCACGAAAGAAGAAATAGTCCTGCTGAGTTTTCCACATCGAGAGAAATTCCAAGAATGAGGATATAAAATTTTATATTATAAGCCTTGTAGCCTGCCACTGAAGAAGCCATGCTTCGATACAGGCACAAATTTTAGAGATTCATATTATGCCGAAACTTCACAGCCCCGGCTGGTTTCGCTGTCGTCACTCTTCTGCAGTGGCATTTTGGAGACGTCAAGAAAGAATTATCACAGTGTCGCTGAACGGATTACTCTCTTCGTGTTTATCTGTCTGCATTAAACTGGTTTGATTCTGATCGGCAGGGTCCTTCGCAAGGTTCTGTTAGACTTGTTCCTCCCGTTCGCGCACAGATTAATGCTGCTTTGTGCGAGAAGATCATATGTGCTTCGTGTGATCCAATTAAGTCATCCGGGGTTTAGGGTTTCTAGATTGATTCGATGCCGCAGAGAGCGTGGATTGAGTCTTAATTGTTCGGTGCGATGTCGGTATAAGCTTGATTCACATGCGTGATTCTTACATCCGTAATTAAAATTCTTGTCTAATTTGGTGCTGTGGTGTAAATTCAGGTGATTCATGTGCGTTATTACAACCCAGTTAAATGCCATTTTCTCCTTGAATCTGCGGATTAAAGTAGAGAGGCGCCAATGACGATGGATCATCCACGATACAAACGTCAGTGCCAGCTTCAGGGACATGAAGAAGATGTCAGTCTCTGCAGCTTCTGGCTTGTTGATCATCATTTGTAGTTGATGATCATGATCAATTTCATGTTTTTGCAGCTGACTCAACAGAGCCTCTTGCACATGCAAAGGTCTCCGTGTTCGATGCCGAACAAGAATGAGTGCAATGCCTTTGCACAGAAATGGACTTGTGCTTTTTATCGTGCGGGATCTAGACTGTTTGACTTATGCCTGAAGGTTTCACGAGCGAATGAGTTAATTCTTTACACTTCAATGGACTTTCCTAGAGCTAGATTGTTCTTCATACTTCTTTTCTGAAATCTTGCACAAGAGTATTGTTGAAGTTTGCGCAGCCAAACAATCTTCCTCCAAGTGAGATTAGTTTTTCGTATGTTTGTTGGTTAGGCGAATACGACTTTAATACGATTTTAAAACCACGGTTTTGGAAACAGTAGATTCATTTTATGTAGACATGCATGCTAGGAATATGTACCAAGTAGATGCCAGATGAAGTTAATGTTTCAGTCGAAGACTTCCTCCTCCTTTATTCGAATGTGTGTACAGACAGAATTTAGGTTCTTCACCTTTGGTGTGTCCATATACTTGAAAATATACCTGAGCTTATATCTAGGGTCATAGGACGATTGTATTGATTCCAAAATTTTCAGTAATATGTTTGTCACAAAGCACACTTGAGGATCTCACCTCACTAAAACACATAATGAATGTTGGTACCTAAGTTTCTGTGGATCAACTGCGTGTTGATGATGGTGTTTTTTTATTACAATTCATTACCATGATTCGGAAAGTTCCTTGCCTACAAGAGGATGGATGAATTTACTTGTGACAAAGGATAGAGAAGTCTGCGTCATTTGAAGTAAAATCCACTCGGAATGTTCATATGTACGATGGTGTTACTGTTCATTTCTCTCAACGCTTCGAGGTGTATGTATAAGTGACGACAACCGGTTTTAGAGACAAGTCTGGGCATTGTTGGGTAGCCAAGGATAGTGAGAAGGTATCTTACATTTTGAATTTAACCTGATTAGTCATACTAGCTCCGTCGGTCCTGTAAAATGTATATCACCTTCACAGGAATTCCCTGCTTGAGGCTTAGTTTCTCGGAGCATGGATACTCGGGTTGTTGTTTGAAATCTGGCTTCCGCAGGGGGCTTGAGCTCACGAGCGGCTCCTTCGCCAACAACGGTGACTACGTCTCTGCTTCTGTTGACAGCTACTAAGATTCTTTTATATTTTCTCTAGCTTGGTCTTCACTTAGGCATCATAGCTGTATGACTTGCGTAAACATGGCTGGAGTAAACATGCTGTTCTTATCATTTTTTGTTTCTGTAGACAAGGTCATTGTTCATTTTCAGTAACTTTGTATATATCATGTATCCCCGTCAAGCTCTAGATCAGGGTTATTCAGATGAAAAGTTGTTCCATTCATTCTCGTTGACTTGAATATGATAATAGCAAGATGTGATTATCATATTTTGTCACCTAACACAAGTATGAAACTCATATGAGTCTTAATACAAATAGTAGTAAAAGCCTTTGTCTATATATTTTGTATGAAAAACTAGGAAATTAGCGAGATGGCTGTTCGAACCCCTTGCGTTTACTTGCTCTTTATACCATTGTCTGGACCAACCCTGACTTTCCAGACAATCATCTGCCGTTGTACATTGTACTCTCCACACCAGTTGATTTGAATATTTTTCATAGGATCGACCGGATACAGGCATCACAATTTGAGTGTCAACTTCTTACCGGTCTAGTCGTTTCATTCTTTGGCACCTGATTGTGGTGTCTGAACTTGAATCGCAGTACTGTGAGAAGATGGCGCAAAGGTTAAACGTTGGATATGTTAAAGGGAGATTTTGGACCTGTTCAGGTTGCTCTTACGCTTCCAACGGGAGAGTTTGTGTCTCTGGTGAGTCTACGCTACAATGTGTGGCATTGGATTCTTCCTGGTTTGAATTTTTCAAAGAGACCTCACATACAGGTTCAGTCTGTTCAGAGGGGATCTGAAGAGAAAGTGTGCGGTTACGTACCAACTGATATTGTTGGTTTCAGCTTAGCTAGTGCAAACTGTATAATCTGTATGCTCATAGTATGGGTGGCGAAGCACTAAGTTCCCACATGAGGATCGAGGAGATCGAATATTGTTGTGTTCACTCCGAGTGAGAACCGTCACGCAGTGAGTGATTCGTGACCTGAGTTACATTCTCAACAATGTCGTGGCTATTCCAATGTTTACTTCACTGCACTGATAGGTTCGAGTAACGTAACGATCAAAAGGAGCCGAGTGTGTTGGTACCTCATGGGGTGACTCAGGTACGTCCTCCCTCTCCTCTCTTTCGGATTTCCAAATTGGTGACACAACCCATGCCGTAGTTCTGAATAATAACAATGTCAAGAAAATCAATTGACGAATGAAACATGCCTTGAGAGCAGCAGTCAGTACGTAAAGTATGACAGTCAGTTGGGTCGAGACCTCGGCACCGCCTAAGAGGCTGTTGTCCACCCACAGACTGGTTTCACGATGCTCGACATCGAATGCATACAAGAGGCACCGTGAAGTGACATGCCTCAGAAGAGAAGCAGCAAGGATGGCTCCATCTTCCAACACTTTCCAAGGCATTGAGGAGGAGATGTCAGAAGGTTTTCGGCGGTATCATGCCCCAGAAAGGACTCGGCACAAGGTTTTGTTCCGAGCTCTCGTTGTCTCTTCTCTGAGGCCAAAAGAAGGTGCATCCGTATGACGTGGCGGACAAGTGGCTTACGGACAACAAGTTGCTGAGTTCCTACTTCCAAATGCTGGCCAACAAACCCCGCAGCAATTTGACTCGGCAGCTCTTAATCCTCACCCAACTCGGTGAGTGCTTATTACGCTGTACGTACCAGAGGATTCGTTAGCTGGAAACTGATGTATTTACACTGGCAAATGATTGTTCTCAGTGACCTCCCCCACGACAACTTATGGTCATGCACTACAAGGAAATCACACTTTTCGTGTCCTCTGTCGTTTTTCTGATGTGTGGGGGCTTATCTATTCCGAGATGTATAAGCATCCTTACGTCTTGTATGGTTCGGTCTTTCCAGCTGTCCTCCACGAGCAATTAGGGCAGATGGTGTGGATTTGGGCTGTATTACTGAGAAATGATCCTTTCTCGAAGTCCGGGTTTTAGACAATGGAGGAGTCTCGTACACCGATTTCGGTGCACTTTATGCCCTGAGAGCTCGTTGCCCTCGTGGACTTGATGAGCTCCGCTTTCGCACGAGGCAGAGCAGAGGAGAGCAGCGGAGAGCAGTGCAGGAGTTTGCAGACGAGGGAGGCTGAAGAGTGTGGGGTGAAGATGCCGACCCCGAAAGGAAAGGGCGAGAAAGGGCTCGTCGTTCAGACTCATCTCAGCGCGTCGATGTATGAAGAGAGCTTCGATTTGCTGAGCCCCTCGCGGGACTTCTCGGGCCAGTACACGCCCATGTCCGAGCCCCGGTTCACGACGTCGCAGTCCTTGCCGCGAGCGGAGGCGAAAGCCATGCCGCCCAATCGAACGCAGTCCTCTCGATTCGCCGACAGGAGGCTGTCTCCTGCTGCGTCCATGGCCAGGTCGCCCACCATGACGACCATTGGCGGGCCGAAGGCGGGCTTGCTCGACGCGCAGGCTCTCGAGGATGGGAATCGCAACGTCGACCTCGCTTTCACCAATATGGGATACGCGGAGGTGCCGGCCGAGAAGCCCCGCGAGCCTCCCGTCTACGACATTCCCAACAGCAAGAGCTTCAAAATGCGCAAGCTTAAGGAGCCGAGCTTGGAAGACGAGTGGAACGACATCGTAGCCGAGAAGAAAAATCGGTACAGGGATTGCTGCTGCTGTGTGTTCAGCTCCGCCATCGTGGTGCTCATCGCCGCTGGCATTGTCTTCACGACTATGTATTTCATCCTCAAGCCTAGTCCGCCCACCATTCATGTGTTAAACTTGAACGTCACCGATTTCCGGCTGTTGTCATCGACGACGACGGACGGTGAGCCGCTGGTCGAAGCCAGCATGACTTGCGTGGTGAGGATCACCAACCCCAACAAGTTCTCGGTGTTTCATCACAGGGCATTGAATGTGAGCTTGAATTACAAGAGCGAAGTCTTGGGCCTCATTTTGGTGCCAGGCTTCAAGCAGTCGGAGAAAAATGTGACCGATCTGTTCGTTACGGTGCCCAAGTCCGTGGCCAAGATTACGGATCAGGTGGACGCCATTAATTTGCTCCAGGAGGTGAACGAGTCTAATGTGAGGCTGGAGGTCAGAGGTTCGGCCGAGGGACATTACAGAATTTTGGGAATTAACGTGAAGAAGCTCGATGCTCCATTGCTGTGCAAGCTCAGTGTGAAGCCGGAAAACGAGGATAGCGCCGCCCAAATCATTTCCAGTAGTTGCTTCAATCCTGCCTGATCGTTTCAAGCATCACAAGGTTTCAGAATCAAAGTGCACATTCTACAAGTAGTTGGTTAGGGTGTTGATGGAATTGGGTAGCGCTGCAAGACATCTATCGAGCACTGGAGCATCTTGCATGGTAGACTTACAAGGCGACACATAGGCATTCTATTTAAGTAGAATTTTTTTTTGGCGCGCCTGCATGGAGACTAGTCCCATCTTCCCGCTTTCAGAATAGGGTCAGTTCCAGAATAGAATCCGCATGCTCGTCCACGACATGGCAGGGTCGAGAGGAAATTTCAGCGAGGAACACATTTTTCTTTGTACAGAGTGACTGGCCGACTGAGTTGATCTCGAGTCCTCCCACGACTGCGACGGTCTGCGGAATGTGTGAGAAGCAATACAATCCTGAAAGGAAGGATTTCCATATCCAGTAATTTGCTGCTTTGCTTATTACGATATGTAAGTACATATTTAGAGTCAAATTTCCCAACTGTACATAATAAAGCAATGGAACAAAGCCATGGCTCCTCTCTGATTGGCGTACGAGTTTTTCACATCTGAGCGAGCAAGATTTCCATCGTCCCTCGACGGTCAGAGGGCAGTTTTCCTTCCAAGATTGAAACCTTCATCATCAAGAACTGGACAAATCTTGAATAAACGCTGGTGGGAACAAGGACAAATCGCGCCATGAAGCACTCATTCTCTTTGCTCATGGTGAACCATCTGGCATCCATCCTGGGGCCGGGCTAGCTGGAGGTCGACGCCGTACGAGGTGGACCCAGCATTGGAAGGATAACGACGCATACAGCGGCGAGATGGACTGCCATAATTGTCCCATTGACGAACCGCTGCGAGATCGACGGATGGATGGACGGTCGGTCGGGGCAATGAGAGTGAATCGTTCTTGCGACGAGCAGTCTACATCATGCCGCTGTTGATGGTGGCACTCAAGAACGCCTCCATCGAACGAGGTCCGTAATCTGTGCACTCACGTAAGCAGATGGCGCCGATTATATCGAACGAGGCTCTGAACGCAGCACAGCGGTCGAATCAACATCAATCAATCAATCATGGCAAGGAGAATAGTCAAAGTCTCGTTGCCTCCACTTGCGCCCTTTGACTGCCGTACTTCAGAGCTGCTTCCACCAACCCGTTCAGGGCCTTCGGCCGACAGTTTCCGCTGAACCGGGTGTCAGCGACTCAGCGACTCAGCGAGCCTGGTCTGGAATCCCGTTCAATCCGGAGTTTCTCAAGGACCTTCCTTTTTGGAATGTTCAGTTATTGACCCATTTTCCAATCTATAGAAGACAAATTTTGCCAGTCGGAAATGTACAAGTGGTTATGTCATGCTGCATCGATGGGACATGATAGGTGTACAGAGATTGCTTGGTTCTCGATGTGGTTTCGACTTATTGCTGTCGGGAGGTTTTTTGGGTGCAGGATATCCCGTGTGGTCTAACCTGACGTTACTCTTTCCATTTTTCTCCATTGTACTTAAATATATAGATGATTGAGATCGATCTTAATATTGAGATTCTATTCATGTTGATGGTGTGATAAAGTCGATAAAGATGTAGTCTTTTGGCTGTATGATATATGGTGCCAAGAGGATTGCCAAAATATGTAAAGTCCCCATTAAATTGAAACCGAATGGAACTAGGGGTCTAGTTCATGGTACCTTTCGAACTAGGTCTCCATATGATGTGGTATATATGGAGTATTAGTATGAAAATAGTTTAAAACAAATATTATTACATTTCAATGATTAAGATCAAATGATCCATAAACAATAATAGCATTTGACTACAGAAAGAAAGATATTGGTAATACCAACAGCGCTAGAACGATTTCAGGTGAACCATTGTCTCCCTTTTCTTATCAAATCATTCTTCCTCGTCTTCAAGTCCAATAATGGGATTTTAATATTTTTTTATTCATTTACAGTATATCTTCACCAATTTGCAGACAGGCTCTATAATAACGGGGTTGTCGAATACATTTGGTGTCTAAGGTCGGCCTCGAGCGTCATGTAATCGAATGTGCAGATATTATATTTCCTTGTTTGGTTGGTTGCTTGGGACGTGAAACCTCCTCCAGCTGCAACTTCCTTCGTACTTCCTATCTTCGTTGTGATTTTGTATTGAAAGTCTGTTTTCTACGAGTACGAACTTTTCCATAGTAATAAACTTATGCTTCGCCAACCATATGTACACAACCGAGTAGGATTCGAGTACAATCATATTTATAAAATGAGAACGATGACAAACATTTTGTATCTAAAATTAATTGTTAGTCTATGAATATATTTTTAGAGTGAAAGATAACAATTTGATGAAAATTGTGTTAAAAATAACCAATTAATAATAATCATTGTATAAATACAAAGTTTAAAGATCTGTTCAAAATATTACAAAAAAGTTTGACATCAAGTATTATAAGTTGGTCAACAATAGAGTACAAAGTCAAAGATATTTACTATACAATTGACTGACATATGCATTTGCTGCAATAATTAGTTCAGTGTGAATCACTTGGATGTAGTCACATTATTAGTCTATGAACTTACATAAGAACACCATCTGATTTCTTATACAAATTTCAAAAAATTTTGATCTGTAGATTACTTACATTATTATATGGATTAAAACTAGCTCATTTGTAATATAATGCAAAGTTTCATGTGTTCACAAAAATCTTCACAGATTGTGCATGATCCAAAAATATGTAGAAGAAGATAAATAATAATAAATTTGATCTTATTATTATAATAATCTATATCAATGACATGCTAATTGTGACAAGAAATCAATCCGATGATTTTGATAAATGCAAAAATGAAGTTAAATCTATATTAGATGAAAAATATGTATAAGTTCAAGAATATAATAGATATGTATGTTTATAAAATATTTAAAATAAACAAATTAATGATTAGGTTAAAATAAATTTAGTAAACATGTGCTTGAGAAATTAACATGGCAGCACAATTCAAGCTTTTTAATTGAATGTCTATTTGATATCACTGAAAATTAAACGATGGCAACATAATGAACAGTTTCATGTTTTTGATAGTATGCACTAGACATGATAATGATAAAGCTATGAGCAACTACATATCAAATCTATATAAGTGTAAACGTTAAAACTCAGAACCACTCATCATTAAGTCACACCGACACCAGAGACACGAGAAAGTAACGTGGTTCACCCTCAAGGCTACGTCCATAGGAGAAGAGCACTAGAGAGTTTATTGCTTGAATGCTTGAAGTGATGGTCTTTTTATCACCCTCAGGGTATATAAACCTAAGGTAGTCAACCACTCTAAGCTATAAATAGCTACATATGCAATTAACCTTGGTTAACTAACCTCAGTTAGATCCTTTACCAGAGTTAACCTCAACAGTAAAATGCATTGAGAAATTATGAAATGGATACTACATAATTTAAAAGTATTGAGTACAATGACAATCTGATTGATAAAACTCTAGACTCTATCACATACTTGATAGATTATTGATTAGGGGCAGACTAGGGCCACACCCGCTTTTGCTACGGCCACACCCGCCCGTGTAAGTTGCCTTGATCAAAGCCGCCGAAGGGGGTTGAAGTGGCATGGCAGTCGAAATAGATCAATAGAACGGCAGCACCGGAGGCAGCGGTAGAAGCGGTACAAGCGGCAGCAACGCGGGAGACATCAACAGCCGCAGCGGCCCCGCGCCCCTCGAAGCCGCTTGACTACACTCTCCTCTGCCTCGCGGACGAGCTCGGCTTAGCAGCTGGGTTTGAGGGGAGGCATGCTTTGACGCGCAATCAGTTGTTTGTATGTAGCGGGTGTGGCCGTAGCAAAAACGGGTGTGGCCCTAGTCTGGCCTATTGATTTTTGTCATGTGTATGCACGTTAGTGCAGTTGCAAGTTGACGCTAGATTTGAGTTTGAGTCGGAAACACGTTGGGCCGCGGCAGACGGTCTAGGAACGTTGGGTTGGGTCGATGTTTCACGAAGTTTATATTCGAGGGAAACTCAAAGAATTGTCAATTCTTCGAGTTGAGCCTTAAGCGTCAGGATTCTTCCCATTAGCTTCGACTCTTATTCTACCTAAGGGTAGTGAGTTTGGCTCGACTCTGTCCCTTTTGTATTTTGTTATGATTTTACTCGAAGAATTGCGTGTAGTGTGTTTAGATTTTGTCTTGTGTTCAGGTTTTTGTTCGTGATTTTCTTGGTTTCTTTTCGTGGTTCTATTCGTGCATTAGTCGGAATGAGGGGAAAGTCACTTCGAAGGGAATAGGCTCCAGAAAAATCTGGAGCCTCTTTCAAACCACCGAAGATTACATTTAGATAATTATCTAAAGCGATCAGTCGTTGCTGTATCACTTTGGTAAATGTGCATTTGGTATGTGAGCACTCCGATGTCCTCGGTGGAAGGTCTTGCGCTGTCTAGAGAAGTGTGGGAGTAGGAGTCACTTTCTGTTTACGGTGGTTGAGAATCATCAAAAATTCTCCCCGGCGAGACAGAGATTAGATGGAGAAACCAAGATAGGAAATAATACAGTATTGAGTCTGAAATATGCATGGAATCCATACAGTGTTGGTTTCTCGGAAGAACGGACAGGTGTTGTGGTCAGTGAGAATGTAGTTGAAGCTTTCCGTAGTCACAAATGCAAGCAGAAAAATTCCCCAACTTGAACCGTATATGTGGCTTAAGTTGCAGCACGGAAGCATTCTTCTCGGCATTTTGTAATGCTGTCAGAGCTTCCTGAAGCTAGTCGCGCTTATACAGGCAGTAAGACTTCTGGATGACAAGGTCAAAATCGGGAGCAGATTCGATGACAGACAGGGCTTGATTGAATTCATTGAACTGAATGAGCGTCACAACCTTGCGGAGAAGTCACGGTACTTGGTCTCGTGGTGACTGCAGCTGGTCTATGCATTCAAACGTGGAGTGTAAATATTGATACTCGATTCCGGATCTAGACTATCCCTTAGTCAGATGATGCTTTAGACTCTGGATTGCTGCAGGAGAAGAATTCAGGATGCTACAACGACAAACTAGCTTCGCTTTTGGTCTCTCTGTTTTCTATCCGCGAGGCAGTGAAGGCCCTGATCACAACTTAGCTTGTTCCCACATATTACCTCGAAGATAGATCACGTTTCTTCTTCTCTCTCGGCTACTGCTACTTTGCTTACAAATAAGGATCAGATTGTGAGGATTTTTTTCTCTAAATTAACAGGGTCCAAAGTATTTGTTATATGAATCTTTTTGGTGCGTTGTCCCGTGGCCAGGTCGCGCTTCGGTCCTATCTCGTGTTGAACGAGAATTGTTGATAGTTGTGACTGCAGTTTCTGAGAAAAGAGTTTTGGGCAAAACATGCTCGTATGTTGTGGGGACGATACTTGCATTTTGCTTCATTCAGTGGGAGTTCATTTTCCGCTGTCACACGAGAAATAACCAATTCTGAGAAGTGATGTAAACCCCTTTTCAAAGTTTTTGGACAACGTAGAATGTAGGTTTTCTTGTATAAGAATTATTCTC